AGGCTCTCATGTGAATAGAAGAGCCCCGCCTTTTTTTGGTTTTAAATAGGTTCCACTATTAAAAATCCATACCAGAGATTTTGAAGGACCACACGCCATTTTTACATTTATGTTTTTTACATTTTAGACTGGGATGCCTCAAGATTTTTGCATGCTTTGAAAGGGTGCCGTGACTGACAAAAGGTTGAGAAACGCTGGAATAGACAACCCAGCCTATTTCATTTCTATATATATATATCTAAATGATAGCAGTTCCATGGTCACTGAGGTTTGGTCAATGTCTTGCCTGTACTAACCAGCCGTAGAACTTGTCTAATCATTATGTATTGTTATAGATAGATAGTTATATCCATCCAAATTATATATCAACCTACGCACATTTCTATAGGCTTTGTCAGAAAGATGAAGCAACACGGGAAGTACTTCCTGCAGAAGACTTCAGCAGAGGATTTCTCAGGCTCGGAGTGGTGGGATTGGGTTGCAGGGGAAGTATTTATTGTATGCATGCTTCCTCTCTATTTCTACTGAAGCCTCTGTGTTTGCCCATGATATTTATCATTATACCACAATGGTATTTATTTAACCTTTTATCAAATCTCTTATGAATGTTCTTATTTATGACACATATATATGCATTTTTTGTTATATATCATTCCATTGTGGTAAGAGCCATAGACTGTGGTCTCCTCTCCACTCCTCCTCCCAGTTGTCTGATAGAGGGGATCATTAGAGTCCTGTCCGTATAGATTGGGATACACTGGCAGGGACAGAGACTATGTCAGTGCTACAATCGGTTTTCTGCAGTTCCGATTGGCTGGGAGACCGGGGTTGTAGGTCGAGTGAAAACCTGATTCAAATGAGGCTAGTTTAGCCCGCCCATTACCAACTTGGCCACCTCCCATCCACGTTATTGAGCACTATCCAATCAGGTGCCTTTTGTCCCCTCTTATTCAAAGTGGGGAGGAGACTTGAATCATGTTCTGACGAAGGGGGTGTGCCCCAGAAACGCGTCGACACTTCTCTTTCCGATTTGCACGTAGGACGTATTACACGGATGTCTCTATTGTTCCGGCCTCTCTACTGTCCTACCGCTCGTTGATATTCTACTCCTATAAGTACCTGTTAGTTTAAATTTTTACCAATTGCTGAATAAATTGATCTGCACCAGGAAAGGCGCCCCTTCTTGTTTTGTCTTTCAGTTATCTCCCTGACTGTATTGGGGCTGCGCCCTCCATATATGCCTAAACATCAGTTCCCTATGAGGGACAAGGAATGATTGCCTCTGGCGCTTCTTGATATACAATTTCTGTTGTCTAATCATTATGTATGAGTTATATCCATCCAAATGATATATCAACCTACGCACATTTCTATAGGCTTTTTCAGAAAGATGAAGCAACACGGGAAGTACTTCCTGCAGAAGACTTCAGCAGAGGATTTCTCAGGCTCGGAGTGGTGGGATTGGGTTGCAGGGGAAGTATTTATTGTATGCATGCTTCCTCTCCCATTCTACCCTACATAATGCTACATAATGAAGGACCATAAGGAGGTTTGCATTTTTTACATTGTTACTATAATGAGCTACAAGCATCACATTGGGGTAAAAAGTCAAATGCACGCAGTATGTTAATTCTCGTGTTTTCTGCTGATTTTTATGAGCCAACTGACTACTGAGAAGGCCAGAACACTTAAGAATTGTTGTTTTTCTCCTTTTGAAGGACTGCCTATGTCCACTACTATTTTACATGTATTGGTCACAAAACAGAGACCAATACCAGCCAATGACAATTTCTATTCCATTGAATTGACTGCAGGAATCTGAAATTATTATATCATTATTATTATACAGGATTTATATATAACGTCAGCAGTTTGCGCTTTACAATATAGGGAAGCCATTATAATTACAATACAATTCAAGACAAGATGGTAAGGAGGGACCTGCCCATGAGGGCTTACAATCTAAAAGGGAGGGGCCAGTGATACATGAGGAGGTAGCTGTGTGGGGATGAATTGTTTGAGAAAGTGATGGTTGAGCGGTTAGTTTGAGGTGGGATCGGCTTCCTTGAACAGATGAGTCTTTAGTGATCGCCTAAAGGCAGACAGAGTAGCAGATAGAAGGGCAGGTTGGCGTAAGGACTTCCAAAGAATGGGAGAGACTCTAGAGAAGTCCTGGAGGCGAGTATGGGAGGAGTTAACGAGGGATCTAGAGGGCACAAGGCCTTCTGAGGAGCGGAGAGGACGGTTAGGGTGATACTTTGAGACAAGGTTGGAGATATAGCCGGGGGCGGAGTTGTGGATGGCTTTATAAGTGAATGTTAAAATTTGGAATTTTATCCTTTGACCGATTGGAAGCCAGTGGAGGGATCGGCAGAGAGGGGCGAGGGATGGAAGCCAGTGGAGGGATTGGCAGAGGGAGACAGAGGATGGAAGCCAGTGGAGGGATTGGCAGAGAGGGGCAGGGAAAGAAAAACAGTGGAGGAATTGGCAGAGGGGGGCAGGGGACAGAAGCCAGTGGAGGGATTGGCAGAGGGGGGTGGGAGCCAGTGCAGGAATTGGCAGAGGGGGGTTGCAGACAATGAGCGGTTGGTGAGGTGGATGAGTCTGGCAGCTGCATTCATGATAGACTGAAGAGGGAGGAGCCTGCATAGAGGGAGGCCAATGAGGAGGGAGTTGCAATAGTCAAGACGAGAGATAACAAGTGAGTGGATGAGTAGCTTTGTGATTTCATTGGTGAGGAAGGGGCGTATTTTGGAGATGTTATGAAGGTGAAGGCGGCAGGATTTGTACCCACCATTGGAGGTGGGTCAGAAAGGTGAGGTCCGAGCCAAGGATGAGGCCTAGCTCCTTGGCATGGGGGGAGGGATGGATAGTTGTAGAAAGTTGTTGAAATCTGATTGGATTTCGCCACATTCACCCACAGTGGTGGAATGGATATCAGCAGTCAATTTGAATATGAAATTGGTACAGTTGGCTTTTACGCACAGGAGAACTTGAAACAAATGTCAGAGATTTGGGAAAAATGAATTCAGGTACCTGGTCTGGTACCCAATTGGTGAGAATATGAAAAATGCTACAAGCTCGGGAATGTTAGAGTAAAACAAAAAGATAAAAAAATTTACATTTAGGAAAATTTATTATTGGCTTGGGCCAGAGGGACGGGATAGATTAGAATGTGGACTGTTCTAAATATGTAAGGTTGGGTTTAGTTTGGTATGGGCTTGTTTGTTCTGTGATGTTCTTCTATGGTATATGTGTGTCGGGAAAAAACTTTTTCAAAGAACGGATAAAAAAAAAAGTTTGAAGTTACAGAGATTTTGTAATACCAATAGGCAAAACTGCTTTCTACAAATCACACTCATGGTACAAGGAACAACGCAACCGTTTCGGCCATATGATTTACTCCTGTATACAATCTGCCAGCTCAGCAGTAATGCAAAATCCAGTAATAGCATAAATAATACAGCAGGGGAAGATTTCTAGACGGCATCGGGCATTTAAACTGGGATAATAAATCAAGGTGGCCTAAGAAGTGCAGCGGAATTTTCCTTCCATCAGTGTAAAGTGATGTAATATATTGCTATGAGAGGATCCAAATGAAGACATTTATTGTTGAGTGTCTGCACCAAGGGAGCCGTACATTCATAATCATTGATAAGAAGTGGATGGGAAGGGACCAGGTAACATCCTCTGGAAGGTTTCTGCTGTGCAAGCAAGACGATTGGTGGTACCCATGGGATGTCTAATCCTGGAGACTGCCAAGCTCATCTTCTCTAAGCACAGGCAATGGAGAGGACAAGGACTTCATGAACCAGGGCCAACTATGTGCATGTGATCACTCCTGACGGGAAAGATGAACTGTAGAGAAGCAGGAACTGCAGTCTAAAGAATATCTATCTATCTATCTATCTATCTATCTATCTATCTATCTATCTATCTATCTATCCATCCATCTATCTATCATCTATCTATCTATCATCTATCCATCCATCCATCTATCTATCACCTATCCATCCATCTATCCATCCATCCATCTATCATCTATCTATCCATCTATCTATCTATCTATCTATCTATCTATCTATCTATCTATCTATCTATCTATCATCTATCCATCCATCTATCATCTATCTATCCATCCATCCATCCATCCGTCTGTCTGTCTGTCTGTCTGTCTGTCTATCTATCTATCTATCTACCTATCATCTATCCATCCATCCATCATCTATCTATCTATCATCTATCCATCCATCCATCCATCTATCATCTATCTATCCATCCATCCATCCATCCATCCATCCATCCATCTATTATCTATCTATCTATCTATCTATCTATCTATCTATCTATCTATCATCTATCCATCCATCCATCTATCATCTATCTATCCGTCCGTCCGTCCGTCCGTCCGTCCGTCCGTCCGTCCGTCCGTCCGTCCATCTATCTATCTATCTATCTATCTATCTATCTATCTATCTATCTATCTATCTATCTATCTATCTATCTTTTCATTTTGAATATAGTAGGTAATGGTAAACACCATGAATCATCTGGCTGTATATTAGCTTCCTGTAATCTGTGACCTGAACAATTGGTGTCACCCTGTTGATTATGTATTGCCGCAGGCAGGGCCATTCCTTATCATAATGCAGCCTGAAGCGGGTTGGGCAGCATCTCATTGGGGAGCGGCCAGTTGGGGGGAAGCCACAGCATCCCAGGTTGCAAAGAGCTCTTAGCTACCTGTGACGCCCAGTGCAGCTTTCCACCAAGCTCATTAACATCACCAGTTGCCAGGAGCTGAGCGGAACAGTCAGGCTCGTGTCCCACAGAGCTCCTGGCAACCAGTAACATCAGTGAGATGGGTGGGAGGCCGGACAGAGCCGCTGACAGCTTGGTCTGGCATTCCACCCCCCAAAGCCACAAATCAGGAAGAGCACCTGTAACCCCCGCACCATCTTCCCCCGACCGACAAATCAGGGACAGCAATGCAACCCCCTGTATTGCATATGTAAATGTCAATCCCATGAGGCATTGCAAGATTCTCACAGCCACAGACATGACTCCTGAAGAGAGATGCACCATGGGATTTGTAGTCTCACCACAGCTGGAGGGCCGGAGGTTTGCTACCCCTGATATATGCAGATAGATATGTACAGGTATATGCATGCATGTATATAGGTAGGCACTGACCGTCTCTGGCTGTCTCTTCTTGTGGCTGGACTTTCCTTTACCACCGGAACCTCCACCTGTACAGAAAATAACATAACGCAATGCATTTACACTGTGCAATGTAAAAATGAGCATAGGCATGAGATAATTGTTCCCCAATACGGACTTTTTTGCCCATTTCCCAAATCTCACCGGGTCTTTAGGTTCCTGATTGGGTTCCAGTGTAAGAGAATCCAGGTTCAGCTCCCTAGCAACCAATAAAAAAGAAGAATGAATGTTAGGAAATAGATGATGGGCAGAAAACTAGACACTGAAGCAAAGAGCAAACAAGGGGTGTTCCCTGTAATAGAACAGGACTGGGAAGCAGCTACCCTTTGAAGAAATGGACTAGGCAGCAAGTTAGCAAGAGGTAAAAGGCAAATATGGAAGCTTCAGGGGGCCCAGGAGAAACATGACATCTCTAGGAGGATCAGACACAGCAAAAGAAAGAGTTAATGTAAGATCACATGACTCACGCGCCACGCTCCGCAGGACTGTACCCTCCAGTGCTGGCAGGAATGGCTCTGCGCAGGAGGCGGAGCCATGTTGAGGGGTCAATGTTCATCTGTCGGGCACGGAGGAAGGCCTTGCCTGTGTGCAAACGTCAATTAAATATAGACTTTAAAAAAAAAAAGTAAACACAGCAGATCAAAACATTGAAATTGGGAGATTTTCCTTCAGTTCCTGTCCCAAAGCCACAACAGGAAGCCAGAGGAAATCTCTCCAAAAGGAAAGAGAAAATCCCTTCTCAGGCAGTTATCAAAAGAGCAAGTTTCCCAATAGGAAGAGTTTCCCTATAAGACAAATGCCCCCTTTAGGGGCAGTTTCTATATCATCTGTATCTGGTTCTTATCAGTCTACATTGAACAGGGCGGCATTGGTTGCTTGGTGAACGGCCTCTCTGGTTCCCCAAATTGTTTTGGTTGGGCTTTAACCCTTTTCCTGCCTGCTATCTCTATATAAACATTTCCCAGCACAGAGCCCCCCTTGCTGAAGATTCGTTAATAAATGTCACCCGTTTGACAGCTAGCAGCCGAAACTTTACTCTGCTGCTTGTTGTCCAACCCGGTTGTGCCTATCACCTTCTGTCCCAACTTACGATCGGGAACTAATCAATATGGTTCAGAAGCATACGATCACTATGCCATCAATGAAGGGGCTTCAAGCAGTAAAAAAAAAAAAGTTTTCAGCTTGCAGGGGATACTGCAGACTGTAAATGCCATTGAGCCATTGTTTAATCCTGTAATTGTCTGATAAAAATACAGTATTAAAAATAAAACTGTTAAAAAGGATACATTTATACATTGTTTTTTGGTCAACTAGTCAATCTATACTAAAGAAACTGTGTGCCAAAACCAGAAAAAAACCTATGTACAGTGTATGTATATATATATATACACACTATATTGCCAAAAGTATTGGGCCCCTCCCCCTCAAAATCATTGGATTCAGGTGTTCAGTGACATTTCCTGGCTACTGAATATTCCGCGGTCACCTGTTACTGGGATTATAACGAAGTGGAAGCAACTGGGAACAACAGCAACTCAGCCAGGAAGTGGTCGGCCACGTCACATGACAGAGCGGGGTCAGCGCATGCTGAAGCGCACAGTGCGCAGAAGTCGCCGACTGTCTGCAGAGTCATAGCTACACACCTCCAAACTTGGTGTGGCCTTCAGATTGGCACAACAACAGCGCGTAGAGAGCTTCATGGAATGGGTTTCCATGGCCGAGCAGCTGCATCCAAGCCTTACATCACCAAGGGCAATGCAAAGCGTGGGATGCCGTGGTGTAAAGCGCGCCGCCACTGGACTCTAGAGAAGTGGAGACGTGTTCTCTGGAGTGACCAATCACGCTTCTCTGTCTGGAAATCCGATGGGCGTGTCTGGGGTTGGCGGTTGCCAGGAGAACGGTACTTGCCTGACTGCATTGTGCCAAGTGTAAAGTTTGGTAGAGGGAGGATTATGGGGGGTGAGGGGGGGGGGTGTTTTTCAGGGGTTGGCTTTGGCCCCTTAGTTCCAGTGAAGGGAACTCTTACACATTAGCTCTGTTAAGACAGTTTGGACAATTTCATGCTCCCAACTATGTGGGAACAGTTTGGGGATGTCCCCTTCCTGTTCCAACATGACCGCGCACCAGTACACAAAGCAAGGCCCAGAAAGACATGGATGGGGGAGTTTGGGGTGGAGGAACCTGACTGGTCGCACCGAGTCCTGACCTCAACCCCATAGAACACCTTTGGGATGAATTAGAGCGGAGACTGCGAGCCCGGCCTTCTCCTCCAACCTCAGTACCTGACCTCACAAATGGTCCAACATTCCCATAGACACACTCCTAAACCTTGTGGACGCCTTCCCAGAAGAGTTGAAGCTGTTACAGCGGCAAAGGGCGGAGCCAACCTAATACTGAGCCCTACGGACTAAGACTGGGATGCCATTAAAGTTAATGCGCATGTAAAGGCCGGCGTCCCAATACTTTTGGCAATATAATATATATATTGGTAATACAATTATAGTCAAGTTAACCAACACATGCTGGCCATTTAACCTGGGCATGTAGGCTTCAATAAACTCTGGGCCACATGAGGCCTGCAAATTGGAATGGATGGATACTAAAGGAGCTATGGTATGTTTAATGAGCAGACATTTTTCATTCTACATCACAAATATAAAATGTAACTATAATATTCTATTTTTATACAGGACCCCTTTTTCCAGTTGCTGCATTTGTGATAAGACAGAGCTAAATTTCATCTTCCAGTTGGAAGGGACCAGGCTCTGGAGAAATGGTATTACTTGGCTCATAGATGGTGCTGATCAGGTGGATCCGGTTTGCTCAGATATAGCAGGTTTGACATAAAACTATTTGAAGTATTTTGATAAGTTATGTACACAGCGATTTTCACTCCTGATACAAGAAAAGTGAAACAAATAGGACAGGCACAGTCTTGAAAACCCAACACACCTTGTTCCTTGGAGAAAATCTTCTTTTGCCGGCGTAGTTTAGAAAATCTTTCAATGACTGGATTATAAAATGCTACCTGGAATCCAAAATGAAAGCACGGGGTTACGGATATGATGTTCAAAGTGCAATTGGTGCATAGTATCGAAACCAAAGTTCAGCTATACATATATACACCGATCAGCCATAACATCTGCCGTATATTGAGTAGGCCCCCCTTGAGGCATGGACTCCACTAGACCTCTGAAGGTATGCTGTGGTATCTGGCACCAAGCTGTCAGTAGCAGATCCTTTAAGCCAAAACACAATTTGTCTCCATCTCTCCATGCCAATCCCTCCAATGGTTTCCATCTCCATCCCTCTCTGCCAATCCCTCCACTGACTTCCATCCCCCACCACTCTCTGCCAATCCCTCCACTGACTTCCATCTCCATCTCTCTCTGTGCCAATCTCTCCACTGGCTTCCATCTCCATCTCTCTCTGTGCCAATCCCTCCACTGGCTTCCATCTCCATCCCTCTCTGCCAATCCCTCCTCTGACTTCCATCTCCATCCCTCTCTGCCAATCCCTCCTCTGACTTCCATCTCCATCGCTCTCTGACAATCCCTCCACTGACTTCCATCTCTCTCTGTGCCAATCCCTCCACTGGATTCCATCTCCATCCCTCTCTACCAATCCCTCCACTGGATTCCATCTCCATCCCTCTCTACCAATCCCTCCACTGGATTCCATCTCCATCCCTCTCTACCAATCCCTCCACTGGATTCCATCTCCATCCCTCTCTACCAACCCCTCCACTGTTGGTACTATATAAATCCTGTATGATAATAATAATCCTTTCATGCTTTATCCAGAACGATTAAAAAAAAAAAAATGGGCTGGCCACACACTTTAAGAGCACCTGTATATGTTCATTAAGCCGTCAGTACCTCACACAGTAGCGTTCCCTGAGGTTCCAGCTCCAGAAAGGTTTCATGCCTCTGGTCATCCAGAAATTCCTCCAGCTTCACATATTTAATGGCGCAAAGGGAGCGGAAATCCCTCCTGTACACAGAGACCTGCAGCTCTCGTGCCTGGATACATAAAAGCCAATGTACACAATATAAAGTACGGGCACACAAATCGATCAGTATGATTACAGATAATGAACATTATACAATGAAAGATCTATTGTAAGTACTCAACAGCTATTCCCCCGGGGGGCAGGTATGGCCCGCTAGAGCCGGCACAGCCCAGACACATTGTAGTAGGAGCCTCACATCCATTTATATACTTTATATAAAGAGACAACCTGAGCTTGAAAAATACGAGTATGCAGGATGCCATTGCTGACATTCATCAGGAAATGATAGTTGCCTAGCTGTCATGTGGAACTAACGAGTTCAGTGCTTTCTGAAGAACTGATCCGGAAAAAGTGCCATCAGAACCCCTGATCTGCATGTTCATTCCACATCACTAACTCAGGATGCATTAATGGTTATAGATCAGCATGACAGCCGGGCAACTAGCACTGAAAAAAATGGTCATCCTGTTTTCTATCTGGTTTCCTTTAGGGCCTGTTCACACGACGTCCGTTTTCTGTGCTGACCTGATCCGTACGCTCCTGCACTAAATATGCATCCCAATGTATCCCTATGTGTTTTATGGGCTTCAGTTCTCACGTGCGCAGTCCGTTCCTGACTGAAAAAATACTGCATGTCACATTTTGTCCGGTCAGGAAACGCATAAACGCGTCAACAATGCAACGAAACCGCAACGCAAACGGAACGCAATGCAGCTAAGCAAAAAAAAAGCACCACGGCTTGAAAAAAAAAAAAGAACTGTCAGCATCCGGACCGAAAACGCATCAAAAACGTGTCAAAAACGCATTGCATGAATAGCACCGCGTCTGCAGATCCGCACCTGATCAGGACCTGAAAATCATGTGAACAGGCCCTAAAATATCAACAGAAAATACGAGTTACTGAGCCCCATTAGGTTTGCTCATACAGATGAACACGCAGGTTCAGAATGACCGGGCCGATAGAGTTCCACGTTCACAGCTGCTTCATAACTGAACCAAATGAACTCTACCAGTGCCAGATAATACCATAACTGAATACAATATATTGACACGCAGGCAAATGATAAAGCAAGATTATGAAATATCAATATATTTTGTACTATCTTTCATAGAACAGATGGTATTCAGATGTCTCATGCCATCGCATATCCCATAAACAGGAGGGCAGTAAACCATTTCTTTACACCGCAATGGCCAAATGCACTTCCAGTCCAATATTATGAAGCCATCATCATAGCTTCTTGGACATCATCAGTATATGGAAACCATGGCTTCTATGGAGGAGGACTTGGGACCCAACGAGAGTATAACCATACAGGGTATGGTGAGAAAGGAAGTCAACAAACATCCTCTAACCAAATCAGCGCATAGGCCACTGGGGCATATAGGTATGATTTGTATGGCTCCTCCCACTGTCTTCGTTTGAGGAATATTCCCATTATTTTTGGCATACACCTTAGAAAGAGATGAATATCTTCGGCGGCGAGAAGGCTTTATTGTACTACACATTGATTTGGTTGAAGGGCTTTCTGATGCCTTTTGTCCCTTCAGCAAAGAATATTGATTCAATCAAAAACCAATAAGGATACCTTCCTCAGAGACCATAACATACAGGGGTACAGGTACTCTTAAAATCTAAGACCACGCATGGACTCATATACACACACAGGTTGAACTTGATGGACCTGTGTCTTTATTCAACCTCAAATACTATGTAACTATGTAGCTTTTTGGGTCCCAAGCCCTACTCCATAGAAGCCATGGTTTCCATTAGGGATGCACCGATACCGGTATGTCGGTATCGAGTACAAGTACCAATAATTTTTTTTTTCGATACTCGCCAATATCGAATACTGATACCGGAAGTCCCATTAACCTCTTGCCGTTCGCCCGTAGTAAAAAAACGGACGGACGGCAATTTTTTTCTGCTCGCGCGCGCCCCCTAGCGGGCACGCACGGGCAGAAAAGACCCGACCGTTGCACACACCCGGTACCGGGTGTTTCACATATAGGCGATCAGCGGGTCCATAGCCCGCCGATCGCCTATATGTGCTCGTTCGCGGCACCCCTGACCCCTCACCTTGATTCCCGGGATCCGCTGCCCCATCTTGGATCCCGGGACCGGCTCCGAGGGCGTCAGGAGGAGGAGGACGGGAGATCAGCTCCTTGCTGATCTCCGTCCGGGCTGTGAATGCAGAAGTGATGTGTGTTACATCACTTCCGCATTCACCTGTCAGTCATCTGGCTGCTATAGCCAGAGAGAAGAAGCTGATAAAGCAGATCTCTGCTTCATCAGCTTCTTTTGGGGTCCACAGGTGACTTTAGGGGTCCTAGAGACCCCTAATATCTCCATAAAGAGGACCTGTCAGTGTGCCTTTGCTATTATATAGGGGGATTGTTATCCCCCTATATAATAGCAATAACAATAAGTGCAAAAAAAAAATTAAAAATAAAAAAAAAGAAAAGTAACACATAAAAAAATAAAATAAAATAAAAGCCACATATAAAAAAAGGGGAAAAAACCCCCCCAAAATGTTTAACTCCCCCACCCCCACGTTTACGCGCCTATAAACGTAAATACGCGTCCGGTGCCCCAGCGCGCAAAAATTACAATTGCGCTACACATGTTACATATCGCCGCGAACGTCGCAGTGAGAGCAATCATTTTAGGGCCATCAATCACTGATAACACTAAACTGATGAGCGGTAACAGCTTTTAAAGCGTCGCCTATGGCCAATTTTGGGTATTATCGTTTTTTGAGGTTTCGCGCGCGCACGCAATTTTAAGGCTTGACATGTTTAGTGTCTTTTTACCCGACGTGACCCCATCTTTTATATTTTACCAAAAAATTGGGTAATAATAAATGTTTTATCATTTAATATAGGGGAAAGTGTTTTTTTTTTTTTTAAATTTCGGTAATTTTTCCTTAATATAGTAAAAAAATAAAACCCCCAGTGGTGAATAAATACCACCAAAAGAAAGCTCTATCTGTCCCCAAAAAAGGGTATAAAATTCATTTCAGTACAGCGCTGCATGACGGAATAAATGTCAGTCAAAGTACCGCAGCGCTGAATACTGAAAAATGGCCTGGATGGGAAGGGGGTTTAACACCGCGGATGTCAACTGGTTAAGGAAGCCAGGTGGCGTGTAATAACTCGCCACCCGGCTTTCCGATTAGGAGGGAAGCCGTCCCCATGCTTCTCGTCACTGTGTGTAATGACGCGCTGCCCGGCTTCCTGATACAGGAAGTATCGGGCTAGGCATCGGAGCATTTGGGAGAGTACAAGTACTCGGCCAAATACCCGCCACCGATACTAGTACCGGTATCGGTGCATCCCTAGTTTCCATACACTGCTTTTATGATGACCAAAAAGCCAGAAACAGCTGCCTACATCTGTAAAAAAATAAATCACGGCAAGTGGACTTACCACATGTTTCTTGTGGACATTTTGCTGGTCGTCCGACCAGCTTTCTCAAATCAGAAGGCTCTAAATTAAAGAAGCTAGTCGGATGACCATTGAAACGTCTTCAAGAAAAATACAGCAAGTCCAGTTGCCATGACTTATTTTCTACAGATATACCATGTGACCCGGATGAATGAGAATTCTCACAGACAGCTGTCTGCAGTTTGGAATAAATGGCTCTATGTAATATTGGGGCGCTTCCCGATGTGAATTGGGCTGTTGGGGCATACACAAATTATTTGAATGGCTCCGCCCACTATCCTAAAATGATGGATAATTCTCTTATTTTTGGGATATGTGATAGAATGAGATGCTCTAAAAAGGCTTTACTGTGTATGCACTGACTTCAGTTGAAGGGCTTGTTAATGCCTTTAGTCCCAGCCAAGTAGCCAATGCTCTTTAAAAATTGTAGTTGGTGCCCAACGTTTAAGATTTACTCCAGTTATTGTCAATGGAGCAGCTGACTCTTGGAGAGGACAGACTGGCTCCTAAATTCCATATTAACTCGTCCACCTCTGTGAAGTCCGTTGATACAATGCAGTGGTGTTTGTCCTTGTCTTTTGGCTGTATGCCTCCACTACCTTCTCTCCCCCCTGTTCTCGGGAATCCTATCTTATCATTTTGTTTTCTGAGGTCATTCTATCTCCGACTCATCCATCTTTCAATATCACATGTTACAGGTTTCCCTTCACTTCCTTATTGATCATTGAGATCCTCACCCTCTCAAGCTGTAGTTTGAAGACCTGATCCCACGTGTCCCGTCCTTCTGTCTTCCATGAAGTCTGTCCCGCCACGACATTGTCCAGCCGTAACACGACGCTGATTTCATCTGAAGATACCGAAGATACAAAAAAAGAAACTCCTGAAATGAAAGTATTTCCGGCTGTCCACAACAACCAATCAGCATCTAAATACCATTCTTACAGGCTGAGCATGGGAGTAAGAAACTATCTGGTTGCCGAGGGCTGGAAGAATTCAATTTTCCTTGGAAGCCCCATATAAAGGTCTACAAAGCATGGTCTAAAAGCCATGTCCACATTTTAGACCAGTGGTTCTCAACTGGTGGGTCGTGACCCAAAAGTGGGTCGCGACCCCATGTTCAGTGGGTCGCCAAATGCCTTCCACTTTTGTAGGTGAGATGCTCCTCAGCCTCTCCCTAGTGCAGCACTGTCAGTTCTCGCACCAAGCAGCCATTAAAATTATGCTACCCGGCACAGAGTGTCAGCTTGAGGTGGGCTGGGGGTATGGCCGCGAGGGAGCTCCATCCATACATACATCGCTTACAGCTCCCTAGTGTGCCCTGTAGAGGTGCCTGGACCGGAGTGACATCACATTCTGGCTCCTGGCACCTCTACAGGGCACACTAGGGAGCTGTACAAGCAATGCACATGTGGATGGAGCTCTGTCACAGCGCAGCAGCCCACACTGGACCCCAGACTGAGGATCCACTCCAGTTCTTGTAAGGTAGGGAGACTGGGTGGACCTACCATGTGTTTTGGTGTGGGAGGTGTGTTGTGTTGCCATTCATTTGAATAGCACCCCAAACGCACCTGCCACCCACAGTTCTATTGCCTGCACCGGAATGTGCGGTACCGTAATGCTGTGCATTCCATTGCAGTGCGCCTTGGGTCACGACTTAATGACCAAGGACAAATGTGGGTCCTGAGGTTACACAGGTTGAGAACCACTGTTTTAGACCATGCTTCATGTTACACCTGCAGTAACATGAAGCATTGTTGAATTTCTCGAACCCCCACCCTCAAAATCCTCCCCCCCCCACACCTACCTGAATCATGGAGTGCTTCTTCTCTCCAAAAGTTGTAATGATTTGAATGTGACTTTATTGAGGCTGTGTGTGGCTCTGCTCACATTATTCAGCTCTGGTTTACAGGAAATCACTACAAGTCCCAACTGCTACCACCGCAGAGGGACTGTGCAGAGCAATGGCGGTGATCCCGCCTCCCTCTTCCTCCTGTAGTCCAATTCCCCGAGCTCCATAACAGCAGGTCCATACCTCTGTACAGACCTTGAGGCTGGGGGAAAGACATCTTAGGAGCACCTATGACACATTGATCACGGGTGCAATGCTCTGCAGGCTTCAATGCCAAAAATAGAGTAAATGCACATTGATCACGAGATTAGTGTTGCTACATTAAAGTGACATTAAACCCTCAGATTTTTTAACATAAAACAATACTGTAATGTGCGCCTTACTGTAATCCATGGTAGTTTCCCTTCTCTTTGCTGCTCTTCCTTTTAAATCTGTATCTGTTCTCATGCTGGGGGAGAACTTCTGTTTTGCAGCAGACTGCCTTGTCTCAGGAATGGATACATGGTGTCTGTGTGTAGGTTTGTATGGGTTTGTAATCTGAGCCAGCACTACAGGAAGAGGCCCTGAGCTGCAAAGGGAAGTTCTCCCCCAGCATGAGAAGACGAGGATTTAAAAGGAAGAGCAGCAAAAAGAAGGGAAACTACCATGGATTACAGTAAGTATTGTTTTATGTTAAAAAATCTGAGGGTTTAATGTCACTTTAACTTGTTTTTTTGGGGGAGGGGGGGGGGATGTGGACCCCTTAAACTGCCTCAATGTTCATTGTGTCATTTCACTTGTTACGTAATATTTTCATTCCTTCCTGTTTCTTTATAAGTGAAACGCTGAAAACAGGAATCAGTCCACTCTAGGATATGACATGGGAAGAGCTGTGTGCATATTTGGGTGCTAAAGATTGTAAAATCTGTAAACGCAGCTCTAATGGTGGCCATACACGTATAATTTATGAAGGCGAGAGCGAGAGGGATTAGAACTTGTCAGGTTTGTGTTGCTGTCTGTGTCCCCATCAGGAAGATTCCCCCATCTGTTCGTCCTGGTGACCGTTATCACTTAGCCCTCGTTCACACCTTAACGTTTTGTAGAGCGTTCTACGCTCGACGAACGCTCTACAAAACGCTCAAACATCTAAATCCCATTGTATTCAATGGGTCTGGTTCACACCTTGGCGTATTTCAGCCCGTCCCTAACGCGCTACAAAACGGCCCACGCCTGAAAAGGTACAGGTACTACTTTGGGCCGTTTTTGTTGCGCGTTTCCATTGGGATACAGCCAAGTAGACCTCGGAAACGCGCGTTTGTCGCGCGATTTTTTTACCGCGAATCACGGTAAAAAAAACGAGTGACGACCGCGCGACAGACGCGCATATGCTATACGCCTAGGTGTGAACCAGGCCTGAAAGTGAAAGAAAATCCCAAATGTTGGGTTGCCACCTGAACTGGAATGGATGGGAAATCTTCTGGGGACACTAGTTCTGGTGACCACTAGGGATTTCCCTCACTTTGGATGGATTTTTTTCTCACTCCCCAATGGGTCACAGCTGTAAAAATAAAAAGCTGACAGGAGTGATAATTAGGGATGCACAGAAATTTCGGCTGCTGAAACATATCGGCCGAAAAAGGCACTTTTGGCCAAATGCAGAAAGTGCCATCTTTCAGCCGAAATTGCGGTGCATTCCTAGTTTCTCTCCTCCCCGCTGCTCTGTGTCCCCTCTGACACAGCGCAGCGTCCAGCGGGGAGGAGAGAAGGTGTCACAGGGGGCTGAGCGGTGCGGGCTGTGAGCCACAATGCCACAGGAGGCCGGGGCTCTCCTCCCGCAACGCAGCACCCCACTCAGTCTCCTCTGACCTATCAGTGCAAAGGAACAATACACTTTTTCGTTGTCTGTATTTCTTTTCCAGCCATTATTATTTGTTTAATTGCAAGCCTTCGGTGGCGACAGGGTCTCCTCAAAGTAGGTTTTGCTTAAAGGAGAACTATGAGGTGAGTGCTTTTCACTCATCTTCATAGTTCTAGCCGACCTGTGACAATGAGGATCAGTAGATCGGGAAGTGAGCGAACACATACCGGCGCTCGCTCACTTCTCGATCCTGTCGCGGCAGAGAGCCGTGACAGGGGAGGGACTGGATTCCCCCCTCCCTGCTCCGATCCTCCTGCGCTGACTTGCGGAACGGACGGGGGAGGGGGCGGGTACAGCTGGCTCTGCCTTTAGATAGGCAGAGCCAGCTGTCACTCACGCAGCTGGGCGGATCCAGACATAATTGTCGGGATCCGCTTCAGCTGCGGCGTCTCAGTATACCGCGAGCTGTAGCTTGCGGTATACTGAGCTTAGGGTGGCGGGAGGATGCTAGTTTGTGTCCTCCCGTTACCCTAAGGAGAACTATGGGGAAAAGCCTTAACCCCATAGTTCTCCTTTAAGGTAAGGTAAATATCTGCTCCAGTGGTACATAATAGCAACTAAACAAAGTGAAGCTTACTTGAAAAGTCCTCGCTGCGGTTAATACTGGACGTGCGTGAGTACATGCTCCGCGTGGTACGTGTTTTCAGGCTCTTTCCTTCCAGAGGGCTGTTGCCGGGTAACCATGGCGGTGAGTTCCTTGTGCGTCCAGGGACGTTATCTAATAGGTCAGTACAGCCCAAGAGCCGAAACTCTAACACACCTGTAAGATAGAGACAACATGCAGAAACAAGGATCTCTGGATAAGAGCGTGTTGGTCTATTAACTTATTTATTTATTTATTTCAGTAATTGAGAACACTGTATGCAATAAATTACACTTGAAGCTACTCTGTAGGTAAGACTAAGGGGGTTATTCACGAAGGAGCCGAAGGATCCAGCCATAGCTTCAGCTGATCCTTCAGCTCTCTTTGGCCGCCGGAGCAATGCGGTTCAGTCGAACCGAAGGGCAGCTGTATGGGCTATTCACTATAGCCGAAGTGACACCCGACTGAGCCGAAGTGACAACAGAGGCGGGGCGAACGGCCTGCCAAAGGCTGGCCATAATCCCGGCAAATGACAGCTGATCTCACGGCTGGCTCCGCTCAGTTGTTATGACAGATCAGCGTCCCCAAATGACCTGGGGATGCTGATCTGTCATTAAACAATAACAACTGGGCGGAGCGAGCCGTGACGTCACGGACGGCTCTGTCCAGTTTTTATTCATTGGCCAGGACCTGCTAGAAGACTCTAGCCGGTACCGGCCAATAGGAAACAGTTGGGCGGAGCTAGCTAAAAGTCCCCCTTCCCTATGGACTTGATATTTACTATAGAGCTCAAACCTTACATTAGATAGACAGGTGCCAATGGGAACTATAAGGCATTAAAATATCCCCTATGCTTTTATGCCAGCCCTTTAGAGTGCCCTGGGTGCATGGGCCACGTCATCTCTTCCTGCATCAGTGAATCCAATGCAAGATCCTACCAGACCTACTAAGAGGCACTATAAATAAATACTGGGATTTATCAAAACTGGAGCAGACTGACTCTGGAGCAGTTACCCATGGCAACCAATCAGCTTCTCTCTTTCATTTTCAAAGCTGAAACTGAACAAACTGAAGAGAGAAGCTGATTGGTTATTATGGGCAACTGCTCCAGATTGGGCCTGCTCCAATTTTCATGAATTCCCCCCATTGTGTTTGTTTTTTATTGGGGGGGTTAGGGTGTGTGTTAAGCGTTAATGTAGCTGTGTGGCATCTATTTCAAAGTTTCTACCCTCTTGCTGCAATATGATTTACCTTTGCTAGCTACAGCAATCGATGTTCACTACACGGTGCAAATCGAGTCCTACTTCAGTTACTTTCGGGTGGAATAGAGAAGGGTTCGGGACACTGTCCAACATTTTATTGCTATTTTATTGCTACCTCCATCCCCATCGTGGGGATTTTCACTAACTTCTAGTCTATTTGAAGGCCATAAAATAGAGCGGGAAGAGAAGATAAATATCCACACCTCCTATCTATTTGGCAGGTGCCAGACAAAACAAGAAGTGAGTGGAATACCAAGTCAGCAATAAACCAAATTTCCTGGTGCCCCTACGTGGGACCATACTTGTGGTCGGTTACTCTGTCCCCATTCAAACCAAAGGGACAGTAAGGGCCTGTACACTCTCCACCACTGGACAATCAGTCTTGAGGACAAAAGAAAGACTGGTGAGGTAGTGTTCCTTAAGGTTTTATATCGTGTTTACCAGTTATGTAGGCTGGATGGGGGTAGAGCAACCAACCATATGTGACCATGGAGAAGCACCAGGAAAAAGGACATTTTGCTAAAATTAAACATTCTATTGAGGGGTGGCAGCATTACCTGTTAGGGGGGCAGATTTGGAGAAAGTGCTGTGAGGAGCAGTGGGGGAAGGTGCACCATGTCTGGTTGGAGAAACGCACATTGCCATCTCCTCTCGCAGGAGGCATCTCTTAGGGTGGTCATGAGGAAGGTCCTCTAGACATCTTTGTAGAGCCAGCGTCAGTAGATCCAACCTCTGCCGAGACTCCACAAGGCGAGCCTGTACCTAATAAACACCAGAAGCAATCTAAGAAACATTGATTTGTCAAGACAGTCTTAGTATATAAGAGACATAGAGGTAAGGATACAACTTTCCTCACACATGGCAGGTGATTTATAAATCTTCCACTCACGTATAGCAGGGCGAGTGCTGTTGGCATGACACTCCTGCCACTAGATTGTGCTGAGGAGCATAGGACTTTGCAGTGCTCCTCAGCTCATCTAGTGGTGGTTGCGCCATGCGAATGGCATTCGTCCAGAGCATAGATTTATTAGTCAGCCCCTAACTACAGCTATGAAGTCACTTCTATATATTGGGAGATTTGTATACCCTGATTTAGAATTCAGAGGGGATAATTCACTCTCAGCATGTCTATATCCCACTCATAAAAATCATGTAGAACAAGATCCAAACAGTAACGTAGGATTGGGGATATATTTGTGATATGCATGTATTTAACACCAACAAATGGATGAAAGCAACTTCATTTTTATTTTCACTTATCAAAAGAGAGAATTTCTTCCAACATTTACAAATTCTCCTGATTAAAAACATGGGACACATTACAATTGTCATGCCATACATCACAGATTATCTTCCATATGATCATTGTCATCCAACACGCTCTTAGAACAAAGCCCACAGTTCAAATGGTAAAGATAACCCTTCTGGCAAGATATCATGTACACCATAGCATTGTGCTAAACACACAGTACTATGCACTTAGCATGTGGTACTATGCACTAGGTGAGTTACATAGTTACATAGTATTTGGGGTTGAATAAAGACATACGTCCATCAAGTCCAACCCATATAGGTCCACGCATCATCTCATTCTTAGAGATACTGGTATCCCTGGATATTACAGTCCCTCAAGAAATTCTCCAAAAGTTTCTTGAACAAATCTACACGGTGGCAGCGAGTTCCAGACCTTAACCGCTCTTACTGTAAAGAAACCTCTTCGCCTATTGTGCTGGAATTTTTTCTCCACCAACTTTAGGTGGTGGCCTCTAGTCTTTGTGTAATGCAGTGTAGCAATTCGGGTGAATCTCAGCTGCGGAGGCTATACAGGTGTAGGGGGTTCCCTAGGGTACGGCGTCAGGGTCGAGCTCCAGGCGTCACTCTCAGAGTCTTAAGCGGAGAGTTTGGAGCTCTACCATCATATGCCGCAAAGCAATCAAAAAGGAGTAAAGGGTCACAGTAGTATAGAGTACCCTGTGCAGCAACCAATTTGTAGGCAAAAGTAACTTGAAATGAAATCACTACTTCCCCTTTAAGGAGTAAGAGTCCAATGGTAATAAGGCAACAGAAAAGCAAAGGATAATTTAGAGTCCAGTAACAGTTATGGGCAGCAATCTTCCTAGCACTCTACACCATAAATACTTGCTGTTTGTGGGGTTATTCAGTAGGTTGATTCTCTCAGTCCTGGGTTCTGTGGTCCAGCAGCAGGAAGCAGGCTGTCAGCTGGCGTTTCTCAATGAATAATAGAACGCCATACTGACCTGGCTTCCTGCTATTTAAGGGGATGTGAGGGGGAGGAGCCGGTGACGTTTCCTGCCCCGATGCGTTCCACGCTGGAACGCATCGGCGATGTTACTTCCGGTTTGCGGCTGCGTTCCACCCCGGAACGTAAGCCGTGATCGTACAGTCCTTTACGGCTGTGTTCCTTAGGGGGACGCATGCCGCGATCCTTACACTTTGTAATGGAGTTAATCTTAAAGAGTTTGTTGCCAATGTTGCTGTCACCATTTAACATCTTGTACATGAAAATCATATACCCCCTTAATCTCCTTAATTCCAGCGTAAACATGTTTAAGTTCAGTAGCCTCGTCTCATAGCTCTGGTCCTCCATTCCCCTAACTAGTTTGGTTGCCCTCCGCTGGACTCTCTCCAGTTCAGTTCAAGGACATCCCTTCTCAGTACCGATGACCAAAACTGGACCCATTGCTCAACACTGTGGTGTTAATGAGGTCCAGATATACATACACTGTATACTTGTTGTGTATGTTTAAATCTTAAAATACAGACCTCATGTACTGGATCGGGATAGGTAATTGAGTCAAATGTAGATGTCACCAGCACGCCAGAAGCTCATAAGTCAGTGCAAATCCATTTATTGATAGATGTAATTGAGTAACACATCTGTAACCATTGCCAGAGTATCAAGAAATCAGCCCTCAGGAGGCAACTAGTATGGAGGACCATCCATCCTTATCTCTTATTCATAGTGGTCCTCCACATAAGGTGCCTCCTGAGGGGTAATTTTTTCATATATTAATAAAAGACACATATGGGGGGGGTCTGGAATTAGTTTTATATATCACTGAAGTTCTCATCCCTGAATATTAGTCATCCCTCACCAGTTCAATTATCATAAGTATCAAAGAAGAAATTGTGATTGGAGACCACACAAGTGTAAGTCTTAAAATTCTTAATCCTTTTATCGAAAAATATAAAAATAATCTATTTAACAATTATCGATAATTGAGAACTTAGAGTGATATATAAAACTCATTCCAGACCCCCCCGCCCTTCCCATATATATCTTTTATGAATATATCAAGAAATGACCCCTGAGGGCTGATTCCTAATATCATCATAAAAGACACATATGGGGGGTATATGGAATGAGTTGTATATATTGCTGAAGTTCTCAATTATCGATATAATTGTTACATTCATTATTTTTATGTTTTTCGATAAAAGGATTAAGAATTTGCAGAGCTATTCTTGTGTGGTGTCCAATCACAATTTCTTCTTAACTATACAATAATTGAACTAGTGAGGACATCTGCCCTGATATTCAGGGATGAGAACGTCAGTGATATATAAAGCTGATACCAGTTCCCCCCATTATGTCTTTTGTGAATATATCAAGAAATGACCTGTCAGGAGGCACCTGGTGTGGGGGACCGCTATAAGAACGAGATAAAGATGGATTGTCCTCCACACCAGGTGCCTCCTGAGGGCTGATTCCTTGATACTCTGACAATGGATACAGATGTGTTACTCAATAACCTATCCCGATCCATTACATGAGGTCTGTATTTTAGGATTTATTAAGACAGTTGGCAAAAGCAAAATGTGAACATTTCCCATCGGGCGCAGTGCTATTTCCAGAGATGAAAAGCGTACTGGAACAATCAAAGGCATGAAAACTGTTTACAGAGTTCATCATCTCACGATCTTCCCTTACAGAATACTCCCAAAAAGTGGCATTGAAGGGCATTTCTAATAGGAAATTAAATATCAGTTTTCCATAGAGAACAGTGGACTGAGTCTTCCACCAGCAGGGACCGGTGACATAATGATAGCCGCAGTGTTTGGACTGACCTTTAAATTCTGATACTTCTGAACTCCCTAGTAAACACAGCAAGCCAGCAAGTGCCTCAGCTTGTCAGGAGCCACATCAAGCCGCAATGTCAATTTTGGGTGGCCATGGCATTTGAAGAGCTAAAAATAAACCTGTTGATTCTACAACAAACCTTGTGAACTGATCATTTCTGGTGCTTTCTTCCCGTGCTGTTATCAGATACATTGTTCCCACTATCTCTGAGGTCTACAGAACCCCTCCACTCTATGTTATAGAGAAGAAGAGAGGGGGTATTGTCTGCAGTCCTGTTCTATGGTGAGAACGGTGCTTCTCGCTACAGATACAATATAATGAGTGTGCTGGGACCCTAGGACAGGAAATATGTTACTGGAAGGCTAACAAGGTGAAAATAAGGCAGCACAGTGGTTTAGTGGTTAGGACTTCTGCTTGCAGCACTGAGGTCCCAGCCGGGACATTATCTGCATGAAGTTTGCATGTTGTCCCTGTGGCTGCATGGGTTTCCTCCTGCACTTCAAAGACAGCCCTAATATGTGCACATAGACTGATTAACTATAACATTATGACACCTGCCTAATATTGAGTAGGTCCCCCTTCTCCTGACCCATCGAGGCATGGGCTCCTCTAGACCTCTGAAGGTGTGCTGTGGTATCTGGCACCAAGCTGTCAGTAGCAGATCCTTTAACTCCTGCAAGTTGTGAGGTGATCGGCCTCCGTGGATCGGACTTGTTTCTCCAGCACATCCCACAGATGATCGATTGGATTGAGATCTGGAGAATCTGGAGGCCGAGTCATCACCTCAGACTCGTTGTTGTGTTCCTCAAACCATTCTTCAACCATTTAGGGAGTGTGGCAGGGCGCATTATCCTGCTGAGAGAGGTCACTGCCATCAGGTAATACCGTCTCCATGAAGGGGGTGTACTTGGTCAGCAACAATGTTTAGGTCGGTGATACGTGTCAAAGTAACATCCACATGAATGGCAGGACCCCGAGGTCTCCCAGCAGAACATTGCCCAATGCATCACACTGCCTCCCCCGTCTTGTCTTCTTCCCATAGTGCATCCTGGTGCCATCTCTTCCCCAGGTAAGTGACACACACACCCGGCCATCCACATGATTCATCAGACCCGGCCACCTTCTTCTATTGCTGTGAGGTCCAGTTCTGATGCTCACGTGCCCATTGTAGGTGCTCTTGGCAGTAAACACGGGTCAGCATGGGCACCCTGACCAGTCAGCAGTTACACAGCCCCATACACAACAACCTGCGATGCTCTGTGTGTTCAGACACCTTTCTATCAGAACCAACATTCACTTTATCAGCATTGTGATCTCCAGTATCTTTTCTATTGGATCGGACTACGCAGGATGTACATCAATGAGCCTTGGCCGCCCATGACCCTGTCACCAGTTCACCGGTTTCCCTTCCTTGGATCACTTTTGGTCGGTCCTGACCACTGCAGATTGGGAACATCCCACGGTTTTGAAGTTGCTCTGACCCAGCCGTCTAGACATCACTATTTGGTCCTTGTTCCAGGTGCCATTGTCACCAGATAATTAATGTTATTCACTTCACCTCTCAGTGGTCAGAATGGATGTGTGATTTTAGGCTTCTTGAGTGCCGGGACTGATGTGAATGTACAGTATGTAGAGCATGATATAAAAGCCTACATGAGATAAATAAATAAAATGGGGCCGTCATATCTAAGGAATGGTAATCTTCAATATATTACATGTTTGTTTTTTGGGTTTAGATATGTTTTTGGGGACATCTCCAAGGCTTTGTGCATGATAGTAATAGTTATGAACAGCCAGTGTGGGACTTTCCTTTAACTAACTATCATTTAAGTTGCTGTGACCTCATGTTTGGATGCTCTCCATGCCGTTACACCAAAGGCCATGTGCAGTAGTTTTCACAGCATAAGGAACACAACAAACCCACATGAAATGTAATAAGTTCAGTATGTTGGATTCTAGCAGTAATGTTTCTGGTTTGTGTAAGCCGTGGGAATAAAGAGAAGTCACTGCTGTGGTGAATCATTTCATTCTTCACAGAGACTGCCGGAATAAACATTATATGTACCTCATTGACCGCACTCCTGTCCTGAGCCTTGGCACCTCCGAGCATCCTCAGGGCGTTCTCTGCCCCCTCAGACACCGCCCGCTCCACCCGATGGTGGTGTCTCAGCTCCTCCATGTGCACCTCCGTGTATGATAGCTCTGACATGCCTAAGGCAGACAGGAAAGGCCATGAGTATGCAACCAACTCCTATGTACTGAAACATTCATTTTTACACATCACAATACAGTATGACCATCCAGATTATGGTGAGAAGGGGCTGAAGGAACCAAAAAGTCCCTCCTACCAAATTGTCGTGTACCACAGTACTGCCTTCATAGAACAGAAGGTATTGACATGTCTTATTCCATCACATATCCCAAAAATAATTGATAAAAACTAGGGATGCACCGATACCGATACTAGTATCAGTATCGGTGCCGATACCGAGTATTTTGGCAAGTACTCGTCCAAATGCTCCGATATCTTCCCCGATACCGAAACTTCCGGTCAGAGGAAGATTTCCTTTAAAGGATTCATCCATAAAAGTTACACCTGGAGTATAGTCGGGTGGTGCCGTTTGCACAGTACCAGTGCCCCTAGATGGCACTGATGAGTTTCCTATACTCATCAGCGCCATCTGGGGGCGCTGGTGCTGGGCGAACAGCATCCACCAGGCGTATAACTTATAAATGCGCCACTAATTCTGCATCTAAGCCCTCTGTCCTCAGTAGCTCCCCGGTCTATTCTAACATCTCGGGGGTAAAATGTATGGCCTTTCATACCGTCCACTGCCACAGCAAGGGATGATGAAAGGTGCAGCAGTCAGTAAAAAAGGAAACAAAGAAGACTTGTAGTAGCAATATTATGATATCACAATATTTTATATGATGATAATTATAATAGTTAGCGCTCCTGCAGACAATTACTCTACAACTATAATACAAACCTGTTTAAACTGGGGGGGTGGGGGGCTGCATTAGGCATACAGGGTCTCTACAAATCTCTACGACTAAGCCTGTGATTGGATAAAACGCATCAGAGGGGGAGGACCTCGGGTGGGACAAGCTCTCACAGAGGGGCCGGGCTCTCCTTATCATCTTGTCTTGACTTGTAAAGTAATTGTAATGTCATCCTTATATTGTAAAGCGCTGCACAAACTGTTGGCGCTATATAAATCCTTTATAATAATAATGGGGTACAAGCTTAAATAAACTATCCCAGCGGAGTACAGTGTGCGGCCAGCTTTTCGTTAGTATAGGCATACAGGGTTAGTTTCAGTGCTGGCCGGGATGACCATAAGCTCCGAGAGCAGTAAATCTACATTACTAAGACAACAGATACAATGTTAGACTTTTTTCATTCAGCCCTGAATTTTGTGTGTGTCGGCTGGGCCAGCTTATGGCCCCTCTCAAGGCAAACACACACACGCAAAAAAGGACCCTTGCAGTGGTGATTTTGGGATACTGTAGAAAGACCTGAACTCTCTGTAATTGTTTCGCTAGGTGGGATTGATTTGGGTTATAGTCCATTAACCCCTTCGTGACTGACGACGTACAGTGTACGTCGCCAGCATCGGGTCTGTTTAAACTTGTAAAGCCGACTGTCGGCTTTACAACAGAAGCGATTCTGGCGACTTACCTGTCGCCAGATCGCTTCTGTGTCCCGTAGAAGGGGACGCCCCCCCCGCCGGACACCGCCACCGTGCTTGCAAAAAATGAAAAAAAGGCCTCAGTCATGAAGGGGTTAAGTGGGATTAATATTTGTTATAGATCTCTGTAATTGTTATCTCTTTCCTCTTACCTGCTCCTGTCCCGGAGGTCTCCTGGGATGCTCTGCGGATTTGTGTGCGCAACATGTGGATCTTTGCGTCGCTTTCAGACAACATCTGCTGCGCAGCTGACAGCAGCTTTTTATCCTGTAACAAGAACGTACATTAAAGCTCTCCTGGCATTTTGTCTTCCCCGCCCCCCCCCATATCAACATCCTAATGACATTTTTCATTAAACACTTTATGCTTTCATTCAGGGCTGCCATCAGGGGGTGCATGGCCGATACTCATGTGAGGGGCCCGGGTAGCCTAGGGGGCCCGGGACCCTTACATGGGTATTGACCGATGGCCGTACAGGTGACGGGGAGAAGGTGGAGGCGGCCGGGTCACCACAGTGTTGGAGGAGGCCAGGCTCATGCAGCGCCTGTGGTGTTCTGATCTCGGACCGACTGGAAGTGATATTACAACACTTCCGGCCGGTCCAGCGGCAGGGGAGGCCAGCCCCCAGCAGCAGGTAAGAGTAGCTGGGAGGGAGATGCAGCACCGACCAGCTCACCTGAGACCCCTGAGGAGTCTAAGATGGGCTGTGCAGCATCTATGGTGGGCTTTGCAAGGTCACTCTCAGGTGGGCTGTGTGGGGTCTCAGTTGGGTCCTGAGACCAGCGCGTTACCAAGCCCCGAGTTCAGCGCGTTACTAAGCCCCGAGTCCAGCACGTTACTAAGCCCCGAGTCCAGAGCGTAAAGTTGTGTAAGGGGCCCCATAATTTCTGATGGCTGCTCTGCTTTCATTACCTGATATTAGGTTCAGTGATGTCATCACTGGGTCTCTGTGCTTCTCTGCTTTATTTGAGCCCTCTAGACAAAACGAGCACTTAGCCCTTGCACTGCTGGGGTAGCCTAACTGCAAGGGGTAGTCTTTTTAAATTTCCGGAGTTCTTCTTTTAGGAGGAGGGTAGTGAGTTGATGTTTACCATAATTAACCCCGTCTGTCCTGTCCTGGCAGATCTTCATTTTCTAATGCAAGTTAGACGTGCACGCTGTCTGTCCTAACAAAGGGTTAAAGATCTCGAGGCTCGGGTGATACATTGTCCTTAAAGGAGAAGTATGAGGTGAGTGCTTTTCACTCACCTCATAGTTCTAGCCGACCTGTGACAATGAGACTGTCACAGGTCGGCTCAGTAGATCGGGAGGTGAGGGAACACATACCGGCGTTCGCTCACCTCTCGATCCTGTCACGGCTCTCTGCCGTGACAGGGGAGGGGCTGGATTCCCCCTTCCCCGCTCCGATCCTCCAGCGCTGACTGGCGGAACGGACGCGGGAGGGGGCGGGTACAGCTGGCTCTGCCTCTAGATAGGCAGAGCCAGCTGTCAGTCACGCAGCTGGGCGGATCTCGTCGTCTAAGTCGGGATCCGCTCCGGCTGCGGCGTCTCAGTATATAGGGAGCTGTAGCCCGCTATATACTGAGCTTAGGGTGACGGGAGGACGCTAGTTTGTGTCCTCCCGTTACCCTAAGGAGAACTATGGGGAAAAACCCTAACCACATAGTTCTCCTTTAATGGACTTTTAGAGCAATCTGCCCCCTAAACGCACATTAAATCTATTCTCAGAATAGAATCTGCCTGTAGAGTGCTGTGTACAATCATTGCTACAAAGATACAACTTGAAGGCAAGATATATTATTATTTTTAGATATGGTGAGTGAATGGGAACACATATAGAGGGGGGGAGGGGTCAAATTCAGCTGCCATGATGGAAATACACTTTAAGTCATGAAGTGTCTTGTGACGGCTTGAAAGAAACTGAGTTACATAGAGAATGCCACAACTTCCCCTCCATCTCTATTGCTGCAACTCCTTTTCCTTCTCCACCCAGCAACCCTCTGCATGATAAATAAAAGTCATGACATGTGCATCCCCCGCTCCTTCACTTACATAACACCCTCCTCATTCATTTCACAATGTGCAGATCTTATAAATAACACAAAAACAGAACAAAGCAAACGAGAGAGTTATCATTCTAAGCGGACAGATGTTTTCTATTATGTTCATCTGGAATGTGTGACCGGAAAAGTCTTCCTCCCGTCTCTGCTCTAGTACTCATAATGGAGCTCCGATGCTTCAACCGAATGTTCATTCTTCGTTGGTCCCTTGTGGAATGTTCTATTGCCGGTATCTGGAACCTTTTCCACACTGAAGGATAAATGATCAATGTGCGCAGATCATCATAGATCGCTCTCATGGTCTGTACTGGCCTTCCTCAACCAGTGTGCCTGTGGCACCCTGGGGTGTCTTCTGGCTTCCTCAATATCTTGGGATGGTAGGACTCTAATACGAAGGGTGACTGAGGGGTCTGATGTGAAGGGGGGACTGAGGACTCTAATACCCTGTTTCCCCGAAAATAAGACCTACCCCGAAAATAACACCTAGTACTATTTTTGCGAATTGCTAAAATATAAGACCTACCCAGAAAATAAGACCTAGTTGTGACCATACCCAGGGCCGGCGGTGGCATAAGGGGGAACTTTAAGAGTCGTGGGAGAGGCGGGAGGGATTCACGGTGCCAACGAAGCCGGCGCTATAGGAAGCGAGTCGGCAGCGCAGGGAGCAGAGCCGCACAAGCCGATGCCTCCTCTATAGCGCCGGCTCCTGTCACAGGCGGAGTCATACCAAATGCACTCCGCCTGTGAGGAATCCATAGTGAAACCGCGCTTCGCTCATTCTGGTTACCAAATTGCTCTTGGAAACGTACGGTGCCCCTGATTGCCCTGATCACCAGATTCTTAACTTTGCCATTTTGGAATATTTAATTTGGATTTGCATTAACTTTGGATTGTTGCACATTAAAAAAATATAAGACCTACCCCGAAAATAAAACCTAGTATGTTTTTTTGAGCCAAAAAAAATATAAGACAGTGTCTTATTTTCGGGGAAACACGGTATGAAGGGGGGACTAAGGAGTCTGATGTGAAGGGGGGACTGAGGGCTCTAATACGAAGGGTGACTGAGGAGTCTGATGTGAAGGGAGGACTGAGGACTCTAATATGAAGGGGGGACTAAGGAGTCTGATGTGAAGGGGGGACTGAGGACTCTGAACTGAAGGGGGGACTGAGGACTGTGTCGCCCCTCATGAGACATCCAGACTTTGATTAACAACCTCCTGACAAAGCAGTGAACTGTAGATGCAAAAAGCGTAGAGCTTATCCCCCATCTCACCACTGGAGGGGCTTGAATGAATCCAAATTTATTGAAGGATGCAAGCCCCGTTTGGGTATTCTGACAGCGGCAGCACCCCAGAGGTGCTGGTCATGATGTGCTTATATTCATAGCATATTATGGCTGAATTAAATTGCAAGCAGTGCTGTGATGTCAGCTCTTCCCCCATTTTCAGCCCTCCTATCTTCTCCAAGTCTTCTTCTGGTCTCTTGATTGGCCAGGCCGGGATGACATAACTCCCGCAAATGTGCACCGGAGTCACATGGTGTCGACACAGAACCTTACCAAGCCCATACACTGAGCTGAGTATGTGCACCGGAGTCACATGGTCTCAGCACAGAACCTTACCGAGCCCATACACTGAGCTGAGTACGTGCACCGGAGTCACATGGTCTCGACACAGAACCTTACTGAGCCCATACACTGAGCTGAGTATGTGCACCGGAGTCACATGGTCTCGGCACAGAACCTTACCAAGCCCATACACTGAGCTGAGTATGTGCACCGGAGTCACATGGTCTCGGCACAGAACCTTACCGAGCCCATACACTGAGCTAAGTATGTGCACCGGAGTCACATGGTCTCGGCACAGAACCTTACCAAGCTCATACACTGAGCTGAGTACGTGCACCGGAGTCACATGGTGTCGGCACAGAACCTTACCAAGCCCATACACTGAGCTGAGTACGTGCACCGGAGTCACATGGTCTCGGCACAGAACCGTACCAAGCCTATACACTGAGCTGAGTACGTGCACCGGAGTCACGTGGTCTCGGCACAGAACCTTACCAAGCCCATACACTGAGCTGAGTATGTGCACCGGAGTCACATGATCTCGGCACAGAACCTTACCAAGCCCATACACTGAGCTGAGTATGTGCACCGGAGTCACATGGTCTCGGCACAGAACCTTACCAAGCCCATACACTGAGCTGAGTATGTGCACCGGAGTCACATGGTCTCGGCACAGAACCTTACCAAGCCCATACACTGAGCTGAGTACGTGCACCGGAGTCACATGGTCTCGGCACAGAACCTTACCAAGCCCATACACTGAGCTGAGTACGTGCACCGGAGTCACATGGTCTCGGCACAGAACCTTACCAAGCCCATACACTGAGCTGAGTACGTGCACCGGAGTCACATGGTCTCGGCACAGAACCGTACCAAGCCCATACACTGAGCTGAGTATGTGCACCGGTGTGATATCAGATCACTTTGTGGTCACATGACTATCAGTCTTTCGGGAGCCATTACAAATGGCTTTGCGTGCCTTAGATTGATCCCCCTGGTTCTACTGGGACAAGCCTGGTTGGATGTTACAGAACCACTTTGTACAGGAAATGTCACATTATGAATTTAACAGCCACAGAAAAAACTAAATGTAATTTGAAGAGACATATGTCTTAGATCAGTGATCTCCTGGCAGGGACTCACGGAGGAGCCCGCTCTTCTACTAGGAAGGGAAGGGTTGTAACTGACTCACATGAGAGGAAGCTAAAGATCTACCACATATAGAGATCTCTGATAATTATAGAGTGCATGACATCTTCAAAAACAGCAGGAAATGGGGCCGAGACGTTTCTACTGTGTCGCCAGGGAATGTGTTCTGATCTTATTGTCAGAGGCAGATTGGTTATTTGGCAATACCGGCCTTTGTCAGGACTGGGGTGCCTAAGAGTTCTTGTGGGCTGACGGGAAATCCTAGAGGTTGCTTGAGCTCATGTCATACTTTGTTCATAATAAATATTATCAATGAGAACAAACCTGAACAATTAGTAGGGATGGATCAACGGAGAACAGGCCCGTAGACTCCCCTCCTTTTTTAGCCACCTAACTGGCATTGTCTGTACTGGCATGGCCTCATCAGACACCTACTGACTACAAGTGCATCCTCCCTTCCCGAAGAGACAGGCAGATGCACAGCTTTGGCCAGTTGTGTTATCTCCTCGGTCTACTGCAGGAGCATGTGGGTTGTAGCCAGGTCCAATGTGCATCCCTTAGGTCCCAGGTTCCTGCTGGAGTTGCCTTGTGGATGATCCAGCTCTAAGACGTCATAAGCTTAGCAAAGTTTGGTTACACAGGGCCGGATCTCCCACAAGGCCAACCGAGGCCCGGCCTCTGGGCAGCAGGGAGTAGAGGGGCAGCAGGGGTGTGGAATTCAGCCACTTCAGCACAGTATATGGGGCTTCTTAGTCAGGAGTGCGGTGGGACTCTCTATTTCACTATAGTAGATATAAGGCCCCATTCACACAGACCGACACTCACCTCGAGCGGATTTCCGCGCGGCGGGATAGCGGGACTGTCCGGGCGACGTTCCAGCGACCTTCGCCGTCGGGCTGCATTTAAAAATAGAAAAATCGCGCGACATCCGCGGGAAAAAGGGTCCTGCTGAAGCGACATGGAGCTGTACATGAGAACAGCTCCATTGAATAACAATATCGCGATATCGTGCTGAAAAAATACGCGATATCGCTGGATTTAACGCTCAGTGTGAATGGGCACTCGGAACCCTGCTTCTACAATAATGAACAAGGTGACGTGCTCTCCTTTGAGGAAACTTCACATATCTGTATTGAAATCTCACCTTGACGGAACCATTACTGTACATCTGGATCATATTTTCTGCTCCCTTTCGGACTCTCATCTCGATGTCCAGCTGTCGCTCTAATTTTACCACCCGAGGATTCTGGGACGGACATGGGCATTCGGAAGTGAGTCTGTTACCTAAAGAAAGAACAGTGTAGACACGCAGCACATTAGGGATTATTCCATCAAGGATTAAAGTATAAAATGCAATAACTGCAACCACCAGGGCCCAATATACCAAATTCCACCCACCATCAGATACAGTGGCGGAGGAAAGATTACTTTAGTGTATATTAGGGATTATATAAGATTAATTATTTAACTGTAGTTTTATTTTCTAGGGTTTAGTGGAATGGAACTTTAGAGAAATGGAACTGACTACTGGTCAGTGGCAAAGGTCTACCAACATGCTGTACAATCTCAGCACTCATAACCCACCAGTGGTCCGTGAAGGTTGTTACTGGGACAGGAGCAGAAGTGATATCTTCCAATGGGACCCTTGTTTCAGTAACCCCGCCAGAGGTTGGATTTCCCCTCACTTCCTGTTTTTCATCTACGTTAGTAAAATGGAGGTCACCTCTACAATTGGAACAGTAAGTCACCAGCACTCCAAATATTCTCCAAGCAAAGTTCTTTTTATTCCATGTGTACATCACCGAGTGTAGCAACGTTTTGGAACTCCTCGTGGGAAATATCCGGGGTAGGCAACCTCGGCACTCCAGCTATTTTGGAACTACAGTTCCCATGAGGCATTGCAAGACTCTGGCAGTCACAGCAGGCATGATTCCCAGGGGCAGAGATATGATGGGATTAGGGTTGCCACCTTTTCTTCAAGCGAAACCAGAACACTCTAGCAACGTGCAGACATTTTTTTTGGGAGAACGAGTCGTTGCTTATTCATATGTAAATAGTGCTAGTAGCCCCTATCTTAATTTTGGTTGCCACTGTCTGCCTGACGTCTCGTGTCCTGGTTTCTGCTGCCATGAAACCTGGACGCAGCATTCAAAACCCGGACTGTCCGGGTGAATCCTGGACAGGTGGCAACCCTAGATGGGATCCTGCTGAGAGATGCCTTACCGAAGCCAGTGAGCTTATCTGACCCCACCCCCGCCCTCTTACAATGGCTCGTTTAAATAAACCCCCCAATCCCAGCGCCTCTTAATCATTTGTGTCTGCATTTAGAGTGAAGTTATTTCTGGGTGGCATGGAGAGCCCACGGTGGTTTCTATATTTCATTGCATTTGTCCATCTTATCTTTAATTCAGGCGGTTAGGTTTTCCATCGGCTGGCCATATTCCTAATCGACTGAGGTGACTTATTGTTGAACATTTATAATAAAAATACAATTGCAAATTAAAAATGGAGCAGAGAGGCCCGCTGTAGAGTGCAAAGGAAGGCAATAAGGAAAAAGAGGAGAGGGACGGAGGGAGAGAGAGACAGACAGACAGACAGAGGAGAGAGAGAGACAGCAGAGAGAGAGGAGAGACAGCAGAGAGAGAGAGACAGCAGAGAGAGAGGAGAGACAGCAGAGAGAGAAGAGAGACGGCAGAGAGAGAGAGGAGAGACAGCAGAGAGAGAAGAGAGACGGCAGAGAGAGGAGAGACAGCAGAGAGAGAGAGACAGCAGAGAGAGAGGAGAGACAGCAGAGAGAGAAGAGAGACGAGACCAGAGGGAGAGGAGAGACGGCAGAGAGAGAAGAGAGACGGCAAAGGGAGAGGAGAGACGGCAGAGAGAGAAGAGAGACGAGACCAGAGAGAGAAGAGAGACGGCAAAGGGAGAGAGAGGAGAGACAGCAGAGGGAGAGGAGGGACAGCAGAGAGAGAGGAGGGACAGCAGAGAGAGAGAGAGAGAAAGAAAGAGGACATGATAGGAGAGACAGCAGAGAGAGAGGAGAGACAGCAGAGAGAGAAGAGAGACAGCAGAGAGAGAGGAGAGACAGCAGAGAGAGAGGAGAGACGGCAGAGAGAGGAGAGACAGCAGAGAGAGGAGAGACGACAGAGAGAGAGAGGAGGGACAGCAGAGAGAGAGGAGAGACAGCAGAGAGAGAGGAGGGACAGCAGAGAGAGAGGAGAGACAGAAGAGAGAGGAGAGACGGCAGAGAGAGAGAGGAGGGACAGCAGAGAGAGAGGAGAGACAGCAGAGAGAGAGGAGGGACAGCAGAGAGAGGAGAGACAGCAGAGAGAGAGGAGGGACAGCAGAGAGAGAAGATAGACAGCAGAGAGAGAAGAGAGACAGCAGAGAGAGGAGAGACAGCAGAGAGAGGAGAGACAGCAGAGAGAGGAGAGACAGCAGAGAGAGGAGAGACGGCAGAGAGAGAGAGGAGGGACAGCAGAGAGAGAGGAGAGACAGCAGAGAGAGAGGAGGGACAGCAGAG